CCTGCCCCCCATCTACCCCTATAGTGCATCTGCTCTCTCCATCTACCCCTATAGTGCCCCTGCTCCCTCCACTTACTCCTATAGTGCCCCTGCTCCCCATCTACCCCAGGGCCCCTGCTCCTTATTTACTGCTATAGTGCCCCTGCTCCCCATCTACCCCAGTGCCCCTGCTTCCCCATATACTGCTATAGCGCCCCTGCTCCCCATCTACCCGAGTGCCCCTGCTCCCCCTATCTACCGCTATAGTGCGCCTGCTCCCCATCTACTGCTGCAGTGCTCCTCCTCCGCCGACATCAGCCGGCAGGGGAGACCTAATGAGCATGGGTGGCAACGGCCGTGTGCGCGCATTAGACCTCCCCATAGGAAAGCATTATTCAATGCTTTCCTTTGGGGATTCCGGCAATGCTGGAGGTGCTCATGCATAGCGTGAGGACGTCCAGCGTCGTTTAAAACACTTTCCGTGTTCTAAGATCACTAGACAGCCACTAGAGGAGGACTTAGCCCTGCAAGGTATTTATTGCAGTTTGTAAAAACTTCAATAATTACACTTGCAGGGTTAAGGGTGGTGGGAGTTGGCACCCAGACCACTAAAATGAGCAAAAGTGGACTGGGTGCCTGGAGTGTCCCTTGAATTATTGGAGATTTTAATTACCCGGACATAAATTGTGACAGAGGGACTAGAAGTTCAGCAAACTATTAGGTTTTTGAATGTGTTAAATTACACCTTCATGTCACAACTTGTACAAGCATCAACTAGAAAGGACGATTGTCTGGACCTGGATCTAACAAACAACATTAACCTTTTAACCAACATTCAAATAGGTAACCCCTCCCTAAATAGTGATCACAATATAGTGATCCTTTGAAATAAACTAAAAAAAATACAAGCACATCGGGTATAATAAAACATATGTTAAAAAGGCCAATTTTAATAAGTTAAGGGGAGCTTTACAATATATTGACTGGCATAAATGGAATATCTTCCAAAAAATATTACAAAGGTATATTTATTTCTCAGTATGTACCATTGGGCAATAAATATAAAAGAAACAAATTGAAACCAATGTGGCTGAGTGGGAAAGGGAAGCCTTTAAATCGGACAAATCAAAGGCATCCTATAAAAGATATAAGGAAGACAATAATGTGCGCAAAAAAGTGATTCGATTCGCTAAACTTCAAAATGAAAAAATGATAGCAAAAGAGAGCAAAACCAACCCCAAAGCATTTTTTAAGTACATACATTGTAAAAAACAAAAAATAAAAGTGTAGGTACACTAAAAACCGGGATGGGGGTGTTAGTTAATGAAGATCAGAAAAAGGCAGACATTTTAAATAACTATTTCTCCTCTGTATATATTAAGGAAGAACCTATGGCAATAGATATGCAAATGATTGCTGCAAAAAACATGCAGAACAATTGTAATTGGCTAACTCAAGACAAGCTGCTGCAGCAACTAAAGAAAGTTAATATAAACAAAGCTCCAGGGCCTGACGGTATTCATCCATGAGTACTTAAGGAACTAAGTGTGGAAATAAGTGAACCTCTGTTTTTAATCTTTCAAGATTCTTTTCTTTCAGGAAAGAGAACCATTCACACTGAAAGAAAAAGAAACAAGTGAAAGGCAGCTGAATTGACAATTTGTCCGCATATTATGAACATTACAGTAATTTAAATCCAATTATGCACGTCATGAAGGAATAACAATTCTAATAAAGTGGTAACTAGACCTAAATAACAACCAAACACATGCAATGATATAATGTCCAAACTGAGAAAAATCTATATGAACATAACAATGCGATACCTACCATTCGGGCGGGAAACGTAGGGAGGGAAATATTTGCCTCCTGTCATTACTAAAATTAGGATTATAGGTACACTACGTTAGCATAATCTACAATTTTACCACATGACTGGAGGCTTCATATTTGCATTTTTAACGTTAACTATTAAGCAGGGCAAAGGAGGCATGAGAAGTCTTACGAAAATAAAACAACCTGAATGTACTCTTGTGCGTCCAATCCGCACAACGCATAACGTCGGCAAGAAAGGTCCTTGTGAAAGCTTGTAATGCAGGCGCATCCCTAACCAAGTGGGCCCCCAAAGCAGGGTACAACGCCGGATAACAATAAAAGCCAGCGGGGCCATCTGGCCAGTATTGTAGTTGACACCAGTCCACGAGGCTTAATGTATGAAGTCAAAAGCTGACCTGCCAAAGAGGTTCGGAGGGGAGCGGTCATTTCGGTATAGTGCACCAGCACCATAACTATACACAATCTGGGGTCCGCTTGAAAAAACGGATTTAGGAGCCAGCTGTAGTATTTTGGAAGTTGGTGATTGGTCCGTGAAGCAAATAGGTCCAGGTGTAATGGGTTCTTCAGATAATTTAATTCCTGGAAGATTGAGACATTGAGATTCCAGTTGCTGTTGTCCCGCCAATGAAATGAGAACCAGTCTGCCGTCAGGTTGGTAATACCAGGCAGGTACTCTGCTCAAAGCATAATATTGCGAGAGAGGCAGAATCTGTATATGTCCTTTGTGGCCTCCGTGAGAGCCTGAAATCTAGCCCCTCCCAGGCGGTTGATGTATTACAATGCCGAGACATTGTCCATGCAGAGCTGGATGCAGCAGTTCGATATGTCTTTGGCCCAGCTGCGTATGGCAAAGGACCCGGCAATCAATTCCAGGCAGTTAATGTGGAGTTCGGTCTCTTCGCCTTGCCAAGAACCCCCTGTGGAGGAGTTTGCACAGTGGGCGCCCCAGCCACAGAGGCTGACGTCTGATTTCACAATGAAGTCCGGGGATGAGCCAAAGATCGCTTTGCCATTCCAGGCTTGCATGTGAAAAAGCCACCAGCGGAGTTCCGTCCGAAAGTCCGCTGAGAGTGGAATCCAGTGTCCGAAGCATACACATCTCGCCTTCAGACGTTGCATGGCCCTGTAGTGTAGGGGTCCCAGAAATATCGCCTGAGTGGAGGAGGACAAAAGTCCTACGATCCGAGCGAGCATCCTGAGGGGGATAGTATCCATCCATAGGACCTGTATGATTTTCTTTCCTTATCGTAGCTGAAGAATTGGGTCAGCTGGGAGGGAGAAAGAGATGACTTCTGTCTGTTCACCATGAAACCCAAAGATACCAGAAAGCTAAGTACAAATTTCATCTGCAATCGTAGCCTGGATGTGGATTCGCAGATGATCAGAAAATCATCCAGGTAAACGAGACATTGTACACCCTTGGTTCGAATGTGCACCATTACTGGCTTCAGGAGCTTCGTGAAGCCCCACAGAACCGAGCTGAGGCTGAACGGCAGACATGTGAACTGACATTCTAGGGTGACATGGACCGACAGGTATACGTCTTTGAGGTCCAGACGGGTGAACCAGTTGCTCTCGATGAGGAGGTCTTGCAGAAGATGTATCCCCTCCATCTTGAAATGTCTGTACACTACGTAATAGTTCAGCAGTCGCAGGTTGATCACTGGCCGGTAATCTCCCGTTTTCTTCTTGACCAGGAAGATGTTGCTGCAGAAGCCGCCATCATCGGGCACATATTGAACTGCGCCTTTTTCGAACTGGGTGCAGACTTCTAAGTCAACTAGGCATTCGTGATCCGCAGACAAGTGTTTTGGAGGCGGAGAGCAGGCCTGAATGGGCTTTGAGTAAAACTCTATGGTGTAACCCTGAACCGTCTGGAGTACCCAGGCATCCTTGGTGATCGCTATCCAGTTCTGCAAGAAAAGAGGTTGCCAGCGGTAAAGTTGGGAACAGGTAGGCTGTGAACGTACTCGTAAAATGAGGACCTCTGTAGAATGAGGACCTTTGAGTAGTGGCTGGAAAGAAGTTGAATGACTGTGGGTATGTTCTGGAGCCTGTCGACCAGAAGAGGCTGGTGGTTCGGCTCCTCTGCCGACCAGCCCTCCCAAAAACACGTCGCCCAGGTGGGGCACGGAAGACCTGCTTCAGGGATGATTGTGCCTTATTTAAGGTGGTAAACAGGCTCACGTGCCTCTTAAGTTCGGATATAAAAGCTTCGCCAAACAGTAGGCCTTTAGCCTCAGGACCGAGTTCTTTAGATCCAAGTTCTAAAAGGTTATTGTTGATGCGGATCAAGGCCGATCTGCATTGTTTGGTGCATAGTGTCGCATTGGCATTGCCCAGTAGGCATATGGACCACTGAGCCCATTCGCGGATTGCATGTGGGTCGAGTTTGGTGCCTTGGGAGAGAGCTAAATCCACAAAGTAGAGAATCTTTGCAATAGGGCCAAGCAAGTCTAGTAATTTATCTTGTGTAGCATTAAGTCCTTTCTCAACGCCATTGCGTGGGTCTCGTCCTGAGTGGGACATAAAGACCACCACTGTGGTGTCAAATTCCGCGGTCCGGCAAGAGTAGTCCAGGACATTCGGCTTTTAGGCATGCACGAACTTCTTTTTTTCTAGGGGCTTGCGTAGCCAATAATGTACAAATGTAGCCATGTGGTCTGGGAGGCTCCCCTTTGATGATCGAGGGTGGCAAATGGTACGAGGGTCGAAGAGTGGTACACCTTGTTCGTCCACGAAGATACCATTCTCGGTCACTCTAGGTTTAGGGCCGCTAAGGGTATCCCTGTGTCGTTCGTCCTCTCAGAGTACGGTTTCCTTAACATATTTTGAGGAAGACTGGGGTAAGTCTTGCCAGTCTTCGTCTTCTGAGAGTGAGCCATCTTCACACCACTCGTCCACAATGTTAAGGTTACTCGGTGGACCATATTCCTCCTCGTCGGAGGAAGGAGGTTTTGGAGGAATGGGTTCCCGTGGTTCCACTCGCTTGGGTTGTTTGACAGGTGCTTTGCCCTTGATCCTAGAAGTTGGAGGACTTGATCCCTTCCAATGGCGCTTGGACTTTGATATTTCCGATCCCGAGGCCTCCGCCAGGTCTGGTGGGCCTGCGTCTCCATGGGATGGTGGTAGAGCTTGCACCAGAGCTTTCTTCACGGAAGCCGCCACCGCGGCATTAATCATAGCTTGGAAGTCCTGGGTCGGATGAGGTGTGTCTTCCGTGATCTGGTTCTGTCCTTTGTGCGAGACTGTGACAGTCAGAGGGGGCAATGGTATTAGGGCAATCACATAGGGTTGCCAGTCTCCTGGTACAACTGGGGCTCGTCCAGGGTATAGTGGCCCCAAATTGCCAGTGAATGTATAAATATTACGTGCTAATGTGGGAGGGCTCTCTCTCTCCTGATAACCAGGGGAGATATCCTTGAGAGGTAGCTGAGACCTGAATGTCTAGTAGGAGCAGGGTGATCCAACAACTTCCTTTTTCACTGGGTTCACCACAGTTGTCTATGAAGCTGTACTTCGTTTAGAGATTATCAATATGTAGTGCACGTAAGAAGCAGAGGTATATCAGTACCATATGGGAAGAACCTGCATATAACTAGCTGGGGGCTAACCCCAGGTGGTGTGCCGTGATAACCAGAGGACACCCACGTTAGTATTTGGCACAATATTGGAATGAGGTGGCATGCCATGAAAACCCAGAGGACACCCACATTAATATGTGTACTCTTGGTAGCAGTGTGTATGTATATATATGTATATATATATATATATATATATATATATATATATATATTCCTGTTTAGGGTGATAGTGAATGCACTCAGGCAGTATAAAATACACTCAGTTTCCAGAAAGAAGCCACCTGCCATCAATTTCCTTAGTACTGTTAGGAATCCTGCATCAATTGTGAGCTGACAGGTAAAGTAACAATCCAGCTTTAATGAGGTACCTAGTTGATCTCTAAGTTGAATATGTATGAATCCAAGTCCAACAGGTCAACTAAAATCCGTTTTGTGTGATTCCCGATCTGGAATAGAGCAAGAAAATGTCCGCCATGAATCTTGCGGTATTAGTGACATCCAAGATGGCCGCTGCTCGCGCGCAACAGTCAGCAAGCCCTGCTAAATGCGGGCCCGCTAAAATATCGCGAACTATGTGCTCCGGTCTCCCCCCAACCCATCCCCAAGCCTGCTAGCCCTGACAGAAATGACCCCAACGGACCCACGGCCCAGGCGTGGCACTGACAGCCGTGACGCCCGCGGTCCGAGGGAGAAGGTAAAAGCACTTACACAAAAGGACAGCCAAATGGCAGAGGGCTGAGGCCAGTCAAACAGATATAGATATATAGGGTAACAGCAGGGACAGGTTATGGAAAAGCCAGGGAACAGAAATAAGTATAGGATAAATACATAAAACCAGTAGAAAAATGCCATTAATAATAAACACTAGGGAGAAACAAAATACTCTGAGCTGTGCCAAGGCTGGAGCAGCAAAAAAAGAGCATGAGTTGGGGCTATCAAAGCCTTTTGTGTATCAACTAACTTTTTTCTCATTGGTTGTTTTTGTTTCTGTGCTGCTGGAGATTTTCAGTAAAGAGAGTTATGCAAATATGAAGCTTCTTGTTATGTGGTAAAATTAAAATAATCACTGCTTGATTACGTTGCTTATGTTGCTTGGTCGGACTGTGGAGGAAAACTCTGCAGAAAACCTCTTAGCATGTGTAAATTTGTTACACAGAGCACAAAGCTTCTACTATGAAACTACAAATATAACGTTAACATAGGAATAAACAGTCGTTCAAACGAGGCGATTCAATAAGCTTATGGAGTCAGTCTATTTTTTGTGTGAAAAGTATAGAAACAGTATAAAGCCATCTGAAGTAGGATGATTTGGAAGCTTTGCTGGTGCAGCATTAGGACAAACGGAGAAATGTTTGCTATATTCCTCTGGTGTAGAAGAGCAGGCGGCAAAGAATCAGAGGGGAGGCCTAAGTTCCAGCCTTGCGGGTAGCGTCACAGGCTGGCTCAATAGGCAGTTAAAGTTGTGGGGGTTAAACACAACACAAACAGAAAAATAATGTGGGAAGCGCAATAAACAATATCTAAAACATACTATATATAGTACTTTCCTGTACTTGAGACAATATGGGTGATCATAGATTTATCTGTAGAGATAGAAATTAAAAACATTTATAGTGCAGCTGTATTATTCCCAATATTATCCAGCATACAAGTGCAAACTCACAATTTACAGAGCCTCAAAAAAGCTGACTCTGGCTGTAAAGGCATGTAGGCAGATATTATCTCGGCTTGATCCTTGGTTCTGCTCATCCAGATCCTGAAATGATAAAGATAATCCAAAGGGTTATAATTGTAAAGAATGTATTAAGCCATAGAGATAAGAAATAAAATAAAAACAAAAGGTAAGAACAGAAATATCCTAAGCAAGGATAGTCCAATACAAAGTCCTTAAAAGCACAACGCGTTTCGGCTGTAGTCGCCTTCTTCCAGGTGCCTAACTTCCTTCACTTGTGTCTCGCCCTTTTTAAGTGGTAGTGCCAGGAATTGCTGATGGAATCTGCCTCCCCCCCGCGCTCAATGAGGGTCTTCCAGGTCACGTGACGATGTAACCACGTCTTGATGTCTCGACGTCACTCCCTGTGTTGTTGGCAAATCCTTCCGAGTCATGTTACAGTGTTATTAAGTCCCGGCGTCACTTTTTCACTATACGTGACGCCATGGGGTGGTATCTCTCCCTCATTCCATGAGGCTTAAAGCACCATATTGGAAAGTCCAGATGCCAGTCCACACCACTATATTATTATTATTATTATTTTGAGAGGAGGGGATGTAACAATAAATAGGACTATTACAAGAAAACTTACAGGAACAATAGGTTGAAGAGGACCCTGCTCAAACGAGCTTACAGACTATAGGAGGTGGGGTATTAGAAACATTAGGACAGGAAATATCAAGTAGGAGTGAAGCAGAGCTGGGGGAGAGAGCAAAGCACTGTCCCATAGGAGAGAGCAGGAGACATGTAAGGTAGAGATTACTCTGGGAGGCCATAAGCTTTCCTGAAGAGATGGGTTTTAAGGCCCTTCTTAAATGATTGAAGACTAGGGGAGAGTCTGATGGCAGTAGGCAAGCTATTCCATAGGAGAGGAGCCGCCCGCGAGAGGTCCTGCAAGCGCGAGTTGGCCGTACGGGTGCGAGCAGCGGTCAGGAGGTGGTCACGGGCAGAGTGGAGGGTACGAGGAGGGGCATATCTATGGATTAGTGAAGAGATATAAGTGGGGCTAGAATTGTTCAGTGCTTTAAATGTATGGGTTAGCACTTTGAATTGACTCCTATAGCATACAGGGAGCCAATGTAAGGACTGGCAGAGGGGTGAGGTGTGAGAGGACCGACTGGACAGGAAAATCAGTCTAGCTGCAGCATTCATTACAGACTGTAGCGGGGCAATACGGCTTTTGGGGAGACCAATCAGGAGAGGGTTACAGTAATCCATGCGGGAAATTACTAGAGCATGGACAAGCTCCTTGGTAGCATCTTGCGTAAGAAAGGGGCGGATCCGGCTATGTTTTTGAGTTGGTTGACTTGGCAACAAACTGGATGTGAGACTCAAAGGTGAGACCAGAGTCAAGTATGATGCCAAGACAGCGTGCTTGCAGGGATGGACTTATGTGGATATCACTGACTTGAAGGGAGAGCGAGAGAGGAGGATCAGTATTAGGAGGAGGAAAAACAAGGAGTTCAGTTTTAGAGAGGTTAAGTTTCAGAAAGCATGAGGACATCCAGAGATATATATATAATGAGACACAATATCAATAAATATAGAAACATACATATGAAATAACTTGATAAGAAATCATACTAATGTGTATAAAAGGGAATCCCTAGGTAAAGGAGAATATATTAGTCAATCTGTGAGAACAAATACATTATTCAAATTCATTGTAAACATTATTAGGCTTAAAATAAATAGTAAAAAAAACATAAAAATAACGGCCAGCTATGTCAATCTTATTATGACTTATTGGGAAGATTCCTACATATATTCCCAACATGGCTGGGCAGAAAACCTGGTCCTCTATTAAAGGTACATCGATGACATCTTTTGCCCTAAAGTTTTTAACGGTTTTAAATTCTAATAGTTGGAACATTACATTGACTCAGGAGATAAGCAACACTCGTGTCAATTTTTTAGATCTTGACATGTACATTGAAGGAAACCAGATAAAAACCTGTACGCACTTTAAACAAGTAGATGCCAATAGTTTCATAGACATGAAGAGTTGCCATTTTCGTCCCTGGCTCTCTAATATTCCAAGAGGACAATTTCTGAGATTGCAAAGAAATTGTACAGAAACAGAGAATTACTCCGCACAATCAGAAATTAAAAAAAAACAAAATTTTTTAGAGAGACGATCCTTTGAATAGGATATAGATGAACAAATCAAGCAAGTTTATAAATATGAGAGAGAGCAAATATTGGATTATAAAGAAAGATCTGTAAACAGAAATGAAATTAAAGAACAGGTCCGTTGAATCTTAGATTTTAATAGTAATTCTATTATTTTAAAGATAATTTTTAGAAATAATTGGCAGATTTTATCTCAGGATGAAGATATTGTACAATATGTAGGTGAAAACCCAAACATAGTATATAGGAGAGCATGTAATATAAAATAAATTGTAACTACAAGCTATATAGAAAAAGAAAGAAATTATTTTCTACATGATTTTAGGAAATTAAATTAAGGATTCTTTTATTAGACACCCATTCATAAAGGCAACTATCATAGTGTTGCACACCCAGGCCCCAAAACTAGACCTTTCCTCATTTCCAACACCCTTTACCCGCTGGTATATAACCCGGCCTTTCCTCCAGGACTGGATGCAAAACCATTTCAGGAGCTGATGGGTACTGACATTCCCCGGGTGCGACACCTGTTCACAGAGAGAAAGATCAAGCCCCTGACTAAGATACTTACCATGGACACCCCTAACTTCATGCAATGCTTTAGATATAATTAGCTGACAGAATCCATCACCTCTGTTCCACAGAGACCTCTTCTGACCAGAGACCTTACCCCAATGGAGGCAATCTGCACAGACACGGACCCTTTAAAACATGGGATATCAACCATATACAATATGATCCTTACACAGCAGAGAACACCATCACCATACTATAAGGGGAAGTGGGATTAGGCCTTAGAAGAAACACTCATACCACACAGTGGCACAAAATCTGTGATTTCACACTGCATACAAATTGCTAACCTACTGGTATAGGACTCCCCGGTCCCTGCACGCAATGATAATGACCATAGATAACAGTTGTTGGAGATGTGGAGAAGAGGTGGGCTCCCTACTTCATCTATGATGGGATTGTTAAAAAAAAAAAAAACTGTTTTGGACAAAGATCTACAGCATTGGTAGTCAAGCTGCAGGGCTGATCCCCGTTCCAACTGGAGTTCAGAGCGAGGGGGGATGGGCTCCGCTCTAGCGAACCTCATGGACCTCTTCTCGTTTGGGAGCCAATGCGCCGAGCTGGCCGGGGTTTTACTTTCCCGTTCTGCCGCCACTTGGAGGCATTGGAGGGATCCCTCTGATGCTGGAGTGGTCTGCCTTACGGCCTGGCCGTCCGTCCACGGTGGTGGTGGTTTGGTCCAGTTTACCTTGTCACCTGTTGCTTGTGGTAGACCGGAAGCCACTCGTTGCTGCAGCTTGTCCCAAAAGGCTTTAAATAAGCCGCTTGAAGGCCTTTGTGAGGTCTCTCAGACCTCGTGGTGTGGTGCTCTGCCGCCATCTTGGGTATATCGGGTATGCCTCCTGTAGTAGCAGGACGTTTTCAGACCAGTTCCAGATGCTAGGGTGCCGGGATATCCCTTACTGGTCGAGGGGGGACGAGAATGTGCAGCTCAGTGTCTGCTAAGGGGTGTCGGCGAAGGAGTAGGCCGCCCCCTAACCCGCACACTGCCAGGCCACAGTTAGGCCTCAGGTTTGCCAGGTGACTCAGCCAGCTAGCGGTAACATTGACTTGTAATTTTTGTTATAATTCAGCTATTTTGGCCTTGAATTTTATTGTATCCTATGTACCGTAACCTGTAATGTTATGTCATATATATATATATATATATATATATATAGAGAGAGAGCTTTATTTCTATATATAGAGTGTCCATTTGACAGGCATTTCTTTTGAAGATGAGAAACGGAATACATTTTGTTATGTAATAAAGAGTATTGTGTAAATAGGATGAAATCCAGTCATATGTTGTAATATTGCTAAAGTAAACAGTGCAATGACAATCTTAGCTTCTCTTTATCTCTGGCATGTATTGTGCAAATTGGGAGTAACCAACAATAAGAGTAGATACCACCAATCATAAAAAGCTTATTATGTTAAACTGATATGACTCATGTTTAAATAGTATTTTATACTATTTTTCGTACCACCATACCCCAGATTACACCAAGTAGATAAACAAAGAATAATGGCAAACCACAGTTAAAATCCAGCTGCTTGAAGGGATGCTACCTTGTGTAAACTTACACTGTGTGAAATAAAGTTTTATGAATACTATGTAACGTTTCACTTCAATGGATTTTGTCATCCAGTCATATTTGTTTTTTAGTAAATCTTTGTTTATCCCTTTCATTACTAAGAAAAAAAGCAAAACAAGTATTTGAAAGAGTAACCATACCTAGCACATACATTAAGGATAAAGTAATTTGAAGAATCCGTAAAATGGATTTATTCATGCTTTACAGAGGTTTTATATTATAAGACATTTCATGTCTTGCTATATTTTCTGCAGGGTCTGAAATATTACCATTGAACCAGAAAAAATAAACAATTTGTCAAATACTATAGTTTATAGGTGTGACAAGAGTAAATAAAAAAAAAATTCTTACATATTTTTGTGGGTATAGGTATAAACCCTGATGGCACACTTACATTATAGTTAGGGCATTTACCAAAGCACAGGCACATGGGACATTTAGGACTAAATAATGGGTAGAGAAATTTGATGCAGGCTGGGAGCATGCGCAAGACCACCACGTCACTCCCGATGCAGCAACGTCAACTGGAATCGTAACTCCTCCTCAGCAAGGTCCTGCAATGTAACTAGTGTATCATGTACTTATCTCAGCATTGCTTATTTTCCATGCAATTTATCCATTACAAACAAGTTTACATAATTTCCCTTTGGAACACTTTTGTATTGATGAGAGAAGCATTCACTCTTCATAAACGCTTGATTGGACAGTATGAGTACTAAAACACTTTCTCAAGCAGTGACAAACAGACTAATTCTGTACATAATCTTAACATATACTTATGGGGATAATTCCCAATAAAATTGGTTCATAACTTAAACCTTGATTTAATAATCCCAATTATTTAATTTAATACTCTTCTAAAATTATAACTTTTCAAAACACTCATATATCAAATGTTAAAAACATAAAAACATCTAAATATAAAAATATGAAGACATTTTCTGCACTATTACACCTCATAAAAATTCAGAAATTCTTCAACAATTGATTCATCTCGTAACCTTGGGCCTTTGTTCCCAATACTGAATAGAGCTAGGGCAAGATTACCTAAACAACACACTCTCTCCTTGTTAAATAAATATATTATTTCCATCCTCTTCTGGGTTGGTTTGCCGAAATATCTTCTAATAAGTTCTTCCAGCAAAATGCTTTCAATTTACCAATCCAAATATAATACATTAATTCAACAGATTACAATTGCCTCGCTTATAAACGTACTAATTTCAGCATAACATTTTTTTTTTCAACAATCTTTAATAAATATTTCTGATCATTATTACCATTTCACGGATGCTACAATCAATGAGATACACTAAATGAGCCTTACTTCGGATAAACCATACTACCCTCTCTTAACTCTTAGATGGACAATACTCCCCCGATAGTACTTCTTTATAAGGGAGAGCTATCTCCCTGTCCATCCAGTCTGTTTCCAATGAGATATTCACGTTCAGGATAAATCACTTTACAATGGAAAATGTGGATCCATGATTTGATCAGCTGCATTTTGTGGGGCACCTTTCACTTAAGATGTAACAAGCGCTTTTCTTGCAAAGTCTTATATCATCAAAAATTTACAGTAGTGATAGCATGCAATGGTTTCATCCTTGTCGGCTGTAGAGCATGTGACCTGTTTTGAAAACACTAAAGGCTTGCGTTAATGACATGCAAATATTACTTATGTTACTAAACTCATATACAGTGGTTACCGTGGCAACGCTCCGCGCGGCACTCAGACCGCAAGATTTACAGTGGAGCTGACAGGGGAGCTGACCGGACCGGAGGAGAGAGAAGGGAGCTGACAGGACCGGAGAAGAGAGAAGGGAGCTGACAGGACCAGAGGAGAGAGAAGGGAGCTGACAGGAGCTGCAAAAAAAGGTAAGTTCCAGCTCTCTGCCAGCCCCCCTCCTACACAGCCCATCCACTGGACCACCAGGGAATGAGAGCCCCCCTCCCTGGCCAGCTAACAAGCAGGGAGGGGGGACAAAAATAAATAAATACAAATTTAAATAATAATAAAATAGAAATAAAATAATAATAT